CTGCTGTTGTTGCTGTTGAGGAGGCATCGGGGGCTGTTGAAGATAGGGGCCTCTTTCACCCGGAGGAACTCCGTCCACATAGGCCTGATCGGGCGGTCCAGGTCGACGACCCATCTCCCCATAGGGACCTAAGTATGGATTAATTATGGAGATTGGGTTAAGGTCAAATTACACAACGTACTAGAACACAATGGTACACCCCACCCCCAGTAGTCCCTTCATGGCGAGACAGCAATGAACTGATAATTACTAAGAACTTTCTGACACTCACGACTGACTTGCGTCACTAGAAGCCGAAAGCATTAATTCCAACGCACCTTTGATGTGTGATGTTTAGAAATTACTATTGGTAGGAGTAAGTTTGTAACCCGTGTTATTAAAGGAGTGCCTACTAAGACACTGCTAGACCCCAAAATCTGTCATATGTCCTTATGAGAAGCGAAATTGAGGCGTTACATTGTAGCTTACTCTCTTCTGAAATTCACGTTATCGAACTAGAACATGTGTCCTCTAAAGGGGAATAAGTAGGGGGTGGCCATAGGAGTCATGTCCATTGAACTGGCCCAAGCAGTGAATGCACCCTAATCGTCACAGTCGGCGCCAGATTCCGGGGAGGAGCAGTAGAGGAGACATGGGGGGTAAGGAGTCTACTATCGGTGGCTTGGTTAGAATGATATCTCAACATGTCCTGTTGAACACTTGAGTAAATGTTGAGCCCGTAGGAGCGGTGACCATCTGTTGATGCTAGGAATTGGATTGGTCGATCAACTCATACGCCTTCGAATGCCACTGGTTGGTTCGTGCGAGTGAGTGAGTCAGCACACCTGGCACGGTGCGGAATGTAGCTGCCTACCTATGATGTAAAACTACTGCCTCAAATACCACACTTTTCAGTCCTTCAAAAGCGACAAGAACCAGTCGCTCGATAACAGTCGAAAGCTGGATCCCGTATGTCACGCCAGGACTCCTTCAGTATGTTACGAAACGAACAAGTTAAGAAATTGTTATTTTGGAAACAAATCATTGCGTTGACAAAGTTCGTTGTTGTTAAACGAATACAGGTCTTACACAATGCTACCTATCCCATCTACGAGACAACAGAGGAGGGGACATGAAAACGACACAAAAGGTTATTTAGCAGAGGTCGGTACTCACCAACCGGCGGCATTCGTTGAGAGTAGGAAGAGTTGGAGGGAAAGGGTGCACGCGGAGGCGTGCCACCCTGTGGTCTCCAACCCATTGTACCGTAGCCAGGAGGTGTTGGCGGGGGCGGTACTCCGACAGCGGGATCTCGGGCGTACTGATGAGAGGGTGGTGGCGGGGGTCCTCCACCT